TCCAAGGAAAAACTTTCCCTTGGCCTTCTGAAAGTTCACTGAAAATCACTGGCAGATTTATAGGAGAAAGGATATATACATTTATTTGATCAGTTTTATGTGACACAAAAGCCTCTGGAATGAACAAACCATTAAGAGGACACTGTCCATTTTCAGACTTAGGTTTAACAAAGTTTAGACAAAAAGGGTACAACCTAATGCTAACTAACTAAGTAGAGAAATCCCACCAAGGCCTGTCCTGCAGGAATCTTCCTGGCCTCTCTATGATGCATCCTCTGCTTCTGGGTATGGGGCAAGACCATCTCTATAACGAGGGTCTTATGACCCACAATCAAACAAGGTACATCAGATAGTTTCTTCTTGGCCAGTTTTCATATAGAAAGGCAGGGGGAAAGTTAAGAGTAGTATTTTTAGATTTTATGGCTAGTTTGGGGAAAAGGGGTTCTAGTTTCTATGGCTACCCCATGAGCATAGGAAAAGGCCAGAGAGAGCTGCATCTGAGACCTTTACTTTGGGCTACTGTTTTCTGAGACCCTACAGTAGTGACTATTTTTCTTTAATATATAACCTGAGAGTTTAGCAACCTGTGACGCTCTGCACTGACAGCGGACATCCAGAAGTGTATTAAAGTCTACATGAGGTTAACTTCAAACTCATCACTCAATATAAGCTCAGAAAGTCCTAAAAATGAGACCCAAATTCCACACTCATGTGCATACTCTTGGATGACATCAGTCACAAATAGGAAGAAATCTTGAAAATGAGGAAAACATACAAGTCTATCACAGATCTCCTGGTAAGGACAATCATCTTACACACTCCCAAAGATACCTCCCCAAATACCACACTGCACTCTCGAACATTCATGGAGTATTTACTATGAACTGGGCACTGTTCTGGTGCTTCGTTAATTGAGTCTTCACAGTCACTCTATGAGATCATCTTTTCATAAATAAGGAAATTGAAGCACAGAGACACAATTAGCATACAGGGATAATTTTGGAAGAACTAGCCCTAAGCAAAATTGCTCAGCAAGCTCACTTTGTCTTTGACCTTCCACTTGATTTGTGTCTTGTTTCCATTTGACAGACTGTGAGGACCCTGAGAGCAGGAATTATGCACCTAGCACAGTGGTTCTCAACCTGTGGGTCACTTGTAACAATGAAAATACATCCTGCATATCAGATATTTACATTACAATTCATAACAGTAGCAAAATTACAGTTATGAAGTAGCAACGAAAATATTTTTAGGGTTGGAGTCCCCACAACCATAGTCTTGTATAGTCTTGGTATGAGAAAGATGTTTATGGTCAGAAACCACAAAGAGCAAATTGAGAAATCTAATTTAATGAAAGTCAAACAAAAGCCCTTCCAGAAAGTAAGAAAGCAACTGGGAAATAACATTTGCAAAATATGTATCAGAGTTAATATGCATATTATGTGGTGACTATGGTTGGAGTCCCCACAACATGAGGAACTGTATTAAAGGGTGGCAGCATTAGGAAGGTTGAGAACCACTGATCTAGCACAACGCCTAAGGCTCAGTTATCTGTAGAGTGGATAGAACCTTCTTTCCTTTCTCTTGGGTTTCCTTCTTTCCAGATATCCTACGATGAGAAGCCTTCTTTTGCCACACTGTTTTTCTAAATTAAGTGTTAGATAATTCCTGCTAAGGCAATACCCAAACCAGCATGTGGTAATTAAGACATCCTATATCCAGATTCCCTAGTCCAGTGGATATCTCCTCCTCCATTTTCCTCCGTCGCCCTTGGGAACGCTGGACTTCACAACAGAAGACGCGCTGCTTCTTCACCAATTGCTCTCCCTGACCGGTTTCAGCTGTTTAAGGCAAGCTACCACATTACAAAGTTGTCAGTCCCGGCACTACCATGGCTCCTTCACTGCGTTCTCATCTCGGCTCAGGTGTCACAGCTTAGAGTGACCTTCCCTGACCTCTCTATTTCAAACAGCAGCCCAACATTCTCTAATCTTACCCTGCTTTATTTTTCTTTGCCATACTTACCACTACTCCCCTGTGATATTTACGATTATTTCCTTAAGCTCTTCTCTTCTAAAATAAACTGAATGAGGGCAAGGGCCTTAGCTTGATTCTCTTGTAATTCCACACCTACACCAGAAACTGACACGGCGTAGGCTCTCACATATTTGCCGAATCAACTGATCAAGGGTCTTTTTTAATATTTAGGGAAGGTAAATCTATCTTTCAAAAATACCACCTTGACTTAATGAGACTGAAAACAGGCAGAAGAAAAATCAGTCTTCACATGTTAATTCAAAAGAACACTTAGTAAAATCCTGAGTCTTTTCTTACTCCTTATGCTCAAACTATAAGGTTAAAATGTAAAAATGGACAAATGTTTTTAGATTAAACATGGTGATAGCACAATGGGAAAAGGTGCTGTGGGAAATTTTAGCAATCAAGGTGTGTTCACTGCTTTTAGTTTTGAATGTACCAAAAAGGGGCTGGGGCAGTGGCTCAGGTCTATAATCCTAGCACTCTAGGAGGCCAAGGTGGGTGGACTGCTTTGGCTCATGAGTTCAAAACCAGCCCGAGAA